GGGAGGAACATTTATGACACACCAAAGAGGCAACTGGTGGTGTGAGATTTCTGTAATGCAGTAATGCATCAGCATGGGATTATATAAGAGTTGAGGTCTCAATATTCCTTTCTGGAAAAGGTTCCCCTTTTTAAAGGATCACACATTTGTCTTAAGGAGAAGAAACAGCTCTGGAGAAAAATGGCCTCTAAAAACATCACAGCCACCAGGGTCCATACAATAATGTATTCTGTGCGTAAGTGTCCCTGCACATGCTCTGATGTAGTTAAGGGTGCAGTCCCACATCAGGAAATGTTGATTGGTGTCTGGGTCTTTCCAACAGCTCCCTGGATATGCAGCTAGCATGGAAACTTGTGTCAGGATTTGCTCAGCCAAACCAGGAATTTGTGTGGATTTTTGAGTTCTGATGTTTCGGGGGATTTTTTTTTTTTTTTTTTAACTTGGTTGTTTGCTATTTTGTTACCAGACCATTTCTCTGAATTATTTCATGTGAACAATGATCACTAATAAGGCACAAAAGAGGTGATGGGAATACATGGAGAGGAGGATAAAGAGAGTGTGATACCTCACCTAGTCTTAAGGTACCTAGAACTGATAGAAAATCACATCCTAAATAGATCCATAGCAGTGGATGGCTGAGAGAGGGTCCAAAGAGGGTCTCTGTTGCATTTCATAGGAGAGGAGCGAGACTTCCTGTAGGCTCAGAGTGGTCCCATTCTATTGTGGGAGATTTATTTCACATCTCCTAGTTTCTTAGCACACACAGACATCTCAGCAAGAATGAGTAATGGATAAAGAGCAAATGGAATTTAACTTTGCTCTCAGGATGAAAAAATTAGTTTTGAAAATTTGTGTATTGCAATTGAAATTGGAACATGATATTTGGGTTGCAACACATCTTCAGAGAGAACATGTTCAAGGATTTGTTAAAATTGCTTTGTATTTTGATATAGCACATCCATAATTAATGTAATTTAGTCAGGTTTGTGAAAGTGAGTCAGATGATGATTCAACTATTTTCAGTACAAACAGCCTCTGAAGTGTCATCACAGGAATTATCAACAGAAGTGCTCATTAACTGATGTCCCTGTTTTCCTACATCCCTTGGAAGTTATATGGAAGTTTGAAACTGTAATAGCTTCAGCCATGCCTATGACTGTAGCCCATATCTCTGTCATGCTGTGAATTTGTTGAAATCCACTCCTGATATTGACATTCCTGATATTCCTTTTAACTGAAGAGAGAACAGTTTGTAAATGTGGATCGTGAGGATGATATTGTATAAAGACTTCTGAGAAAACTTCAGAGATGGGTGGCAGCAAAGGAAACTCAATTATTCATACTGTATTATGACTTAAAACACATTCAGTCTTTCCAAAAGTAGAACATGATCAAAGTGAAAAATACAGTGGAAAAAGGACCTTTGTGATATAATCTGTCAAATTCACAACTGGAAAATGTGAAAGGACTGTGGACTCCAAGGGAGTAAAATAAAAAGCCTTTCAGAAAGTACGAGTAGCTTGGAAATCACCTTAACTGCTATTTAAACTTGCCTGTAAAAGAAACTAGGTTACTACAATGTGTGAATATTTTTTTTCCAATGTTCTTTAGCCTACATAGATATTTAAACAAAATTCTTAAACTATTTTTACCAGCTGTTGGACATGTGGCTAGCAGAATTGCTGATTCATCCACTTCTTAAATATTCAGCAAATTTGCAAAGCATTTCAAAGGGATAGAGTAGACAGCAGCCTGGCATTAATTCACCGTGGGGTTTTTTGTGACTGTTTCATGTGTTCTGACAATTTGGAATATGTTTAATTACCAAATCAACAAGAAAACAAAAATGGAAACAAAACCTTTCAGATATGCTTGTCCTCAGCTCTATGAAACAAAAATGTGTGTGCCTTGTAACGAGGGGGAAGAGAGAGAGCAGTTGGTGTCTGGGAGAATGCTGGACATGCTGTAAATGCTTCACATGGTCCTAACCTGCCACTGGTACCATTGTGTCAAAGTCAGGGTTGGGTTTTCAGTGGTGATGTACTTGTGCTTGCAGGTCACATGGAGCTGCCAAGCTGCTTCATGTGACCTGGCGTTCCCAAAAGAAGCTTTAAATTAAATTTTGACAAGTTTGTAGGCAGGCAGAGAGACTAGATTCCTAAAAGAGTCCTTAGCTCTGCAGCAGGGTGGGGAAGATTTTCACTCACAGCCATGTCCCGGGCAGTCCACCAGAACTGACTTCAGCAGTTGCTCTTTTCTTCCACTTCAGAGATCCAGGTTTTATCGGGCAATTCCTACAGTCAGAGTATTCCTGCCATTGGTCAACTGCAGTTCTGGGGTCTGACATGCTGGCAAATTCTCTTTAGTTTTAAAGTTGCAGGTTGGCTGCTCCCAACTTCAATATTAACAATTCATTAGTAAGGTCAAGAACTACTTCCAAACAAGCCACTCAGCTCTTTGGTGCCTGAATTGCAACCCTTGCCTACTAATTAGTTGTAACAAACAACACAAATATACATGAGGTGACTGATTTTAAGTGTGAGAAATTCAACCCACTGGACAGCAAAAGGGGTGAATGGTGTTATATGCACAGTGAGTAGCTGTGAGACAAAACCACAGGTATCTGAGCCACAGCATAGCTGGAAAAATATTTGAGAAAGGATCCTCTCTGGAGAACAATATGACCTGGACTATGCATTCTCAGCAGATCTCTCAGCTCAAAGGTAAATAGCAAACAACCAATTCCCACTGGCCTTGCCTTCTGCACCTGCAGCAGGCTCACACACTGAGCAGAGCAAATGCAGGAGGGGTTCCCGTGGGCTGGTTTGTCAAATCTTGCATGTGCCTTTCCCACCTTGTTGAATGCAATGCTGGAGCTTCCAGTTCAAACAGACCTACACTATTCTATGAGAAAAGCCAAATTTCACTCTGTTTCATGTCAAACTATTCATTTCCAGGCCTGCTAGGAATTTGTCTCTGTGCAAGAGACACTTCTCACATTGTGGTTCACTGGTTGACTCCTGGCTGGCCAAGCAAGGTAGAGGTATTTCAGTGCTATGCAATTTTCCCACAGCTCTGTGTACAGACTGAGTCACAGTGATTCAGTATAGAAACCTTTTTAGAAGCAGGTTTAAAAATATAATTTTATGATTTATCTAATCAAAGGAAAGTTTCTAAAAGAAACATTTATGGTGTACTACATCTAACAGCCAGAGGCAACTGAGATGCGGGTTTTATAAAAAAATCATCTAATATCGAATACAGCATCAGTTAAATATTCCTCTTCTTCCATGGCTAAAAGTGTTGTGGAATATTGATCAACTCTTTGCCTGATTGTGTGTTGGTTTCAAATTAAACATGTTTCTCAAATATTAATCTGGATGAAGACTAATTTTTCAGTTAGTCTGTGATCGTATGGAAGATGAAATGATTCAGAGAACTGTGTGTGTTCTCCCTCCAAAATTGGATTGATTATTTTGTGAGTGCAAAAGTATTTTCTATATAAATGAGAGGGAGAGGGTTTGGGAGAATTTTTATTTGCAGGTTGCCTCTAAGATATTCTGTTATAAAAGTCAAGAATAATCTATCATCTAATCAGTTTCAACAGGGTTATGTAACCTTATATGACACTCTTCCTTTGTAAGAAAAGATTATTGTTTTTACTTAAAATACCTCAGGGAAAAATGAGATGAAAATATAATAAATGCATTCCCAAATTATTTGTTTCCAAAGTATGAATAGAAATATCTTGAACACTTCATGAACAATTAGCACATTTTAAAAGGCAGAAAAGATAATATACTGATCATAAATATGGGAAACTTAATTTTCTTGTTCTTTGATTTACATCTCTCTCTGGAAATATTATCTTCCTTGTTTTGCTGAAATATTTATTTATAATGTTTTTTATCATATGTAAAAGGTTATGCTGGATAGATCTCTATCAAAACTATATTTTTTTCCCTCCAGATTGTTTCCTGAAATTCTAAGTGTGTTCTATATGGTTGCCAACAGGTTATTAAAAGGAGAGATTTAGGACCTCACAGTTATTCTGTTTTTTCAAATTATGGCTTTTATCATGATTATGGGTTATGGGCTTTTTGCTTACCGTGGAATATCCTAGGTGAGACAAAACATGACTTTTAAACAGATACATTTTTCCCTCAGTGTGCCTCCAGAACCACTAGCCCTTTTCTTTTTTTTAAATTCTAAATTCTCTTACAATTAAATTTATTAGAACAATTTCTGGTAAATAAAACGCCTCTTTGTTTCACGCCTCTGCCTGTGGACTTCAGTCAGAACCATATAACAGGTTCATGTGTGACACGCCCTCCTCCTTGGCCGCAGTGTTCAGTTTAGCAGCAACACATGGGCATTTTTTGCTCTTTGTGGCTAAACAAGGACACACATCTTGGTGCAACAAGCTTCTTAGCAGTCTGGGGCTTTGGTTATAACCTTTTATTGTCAGTGTGATCATGCTCATGGACATAGGAAGTGCTGAGTAAACAGCTAAGGGAGATGGCTCTATAAAAGTAGCCTCCTGCACTGTAACACCTCTTTTTGTGTTACAAAGAGCTCCCTTTGCTTGGCACCTGCTCTTTACTTTGACCAGGAGCGACAGCGTGTCACTCCCAGGCAGTGGCACTAAGCATGGATGCACTTTCTTAGATATGCAGTCTGGCAATGTGTGCATCATCACCACGAGTCTGTATCCTGAAAGTAACAGTTAGATTTGAGACTTACAAGCAAAATCAGTTGAACTTCTCAACACTCCTATTAAAAACACCCAACTCTAGGTCCTTCCAAGGAGGGAGGCTGTGTATAAATTAATTGTGCTCCTCCATTAAACTTTTGAAAACCAAAAGTGTTGGGATACCCCTCCTCTGAGAATACACAAAGGTTTTACATAGAAGGGGAAAAAATCCATGCAGGACAACTATGATATGAAGAGCCACTCTCATAAATTAGTACTTACTTACTTGTTGATTTTTTTTTAACAGATCCTCCCATTATTCTATGGGCAGTCGAGCTTTTTCCCATGACAGTATTTTCATACCTGATGGGAGAACAGAGGGTGAACAGGCCATTCAAGCAATGTCACAGGAGAACGTTTTAGGGAAAGTCAAAATTCTTCAGGTAAGAAATTGCAAGTGGGAAAAATATGGAAAATGTGGTGGGAAATGGTCTCCAGAACATGTTCAATGTGCACAGAGATAGGTTGTTTTCCTATAAATTTATGACAGTTTCTCACCCATTTTAAGTTCTCTGGCAAAAGGCCATTGTAAGTAATTCAAATAATCTGCAGAACTTCCAGGTATTGGTCTTGAAAGGTACAGCAATGATGCTGTAAACATATCTGCAGAAACGTCTGCACCTGTGGGACTCGTCTGAATTGAAGCAATGATTTTGGTGTGTCCTGATCTGTATGCCTATGTCCTACAAATGTGCTAATGAGAGGAAAAAATGAAGGCAGTGCTGAGGGCAGGGAATGGTATGCAGAGTGAGACTTCCTTGCAAAGCCAATTTAATTACATGTTTATATGTATTATTTTTTTTCTCCTTTTTCTCACTGCACTTTCAATGGTTTCCATGGAGGGTGGACTTGTTTATCTCTCCAAAGCATAAACAACATATTTGGGTATTTGCTTCTAAAGAGCTTTATATGATCCACTTTCCCTTCTTTTCCAGAACTCTCTCTCATTAGTGCTCAAACTAATTTATTGCTTTACTTTCTGTATATCTGTAAGATTCCCTGCTTTACGCCTTTCTAGACCTTGCGAGAGCTGTCCTTCAGACACATGTTGCACTTTATTGCTCAGGATGCTGACATCCTGTCAAAATGCTGATGCATTTTTAATGCTGTGCAAGTACTGTTACCCCGAAGATAACTAGCAAAATACCATTGATTTCTCTTACCTCTAAGTCTACCCATGATCCATCTTTTCTGGTGAATGAGAGATCCTGAAATTAGACAGCTCTGACCTTCAGGATGGAATTGTTCCTGCCTCCTGCCCGGTGCTGTCAGCAGACAGAGCACCTGCACAGTGCTAGCCATGCTGACTGTGGATGAGCTCTGAAGTAGAAACTACACTAGGACATCTCCAATTCCTCTGTGCTGGTTTTTCAGCTTAAATTTCCCTGGGTCAGGTAGATTCAGTGCATTCTATTTTCCAGGCTGGAAACCATTATATTTCAAATGACTACTGACTCAGGGTAAAGACCTGAGGTATGTGGGCCTGTCCTGCAATGTCCTACAAAGCCACCAACTCTTTCAAGGAGCTGTGTCCTTCTTATCAATTGGATTTGTTTTCTTGGTTTCTTCCTGGTTTCTTCATAGCTTTTCTCTGAATAACTTTTCATTTCCAGAGGTGTTTTCCCTCATATCAAAACTCAGCTTAAAATTCTCAACGGAAATTAGTGCCTTTGCTAAACTAAGCCACCTGAGAAAAAGTATAGTTAATGCAGTTGGTAACAACCCTGCTCACTAAGCAACTGCTAAATCAAGAAAATTACATCAAAATGTCACCCTTGAAAGTCACTGAATAAATAGCCAGTGGTACTCTCTTGCTCATATGAACTTTGCATAAGCCTTTTTTTAGTGTGGTTAATTGCATGTATTTTAAGGGACAATATTGTTTCAGCTGCTTGATGAAAAGAATGTGCTTGCCTTTTTATTTAAAATTGAATGATGGTAGTTCATTTTTGTCATTTTAGTGTAGCTGGAACTCAGCCTGTAACATACCAGATTCATTTTTCAACTCTGAAAAATGGTGAGAGCCACTTATTCATTCAGAAAAGGAATGCATAAGGAATGCAAATGACACTCTTATGTATTTACATGTTCACACAGAACAGTCACACATTCATCTAAATGTCCATGGATTTTTTTTTTTGCAAACCCATGGAAAGCCTCCCTGTAATAAGCCCAGGAGCCACTTCTTGTATCTTCAAAAATTGCTGCACACCATGCAACTTTTCCTATTTCTGTAGCCATGATTTCTTGATTTCTGCAACTGTTACCTGAGTTTTAGGAAAAAGTCATGTCAAAATCCCATTGCACATTTCAAATTGACCTTAGAGTTGAGTCTTAGGTCTGATGAGATATTTGGACTATCATTCCTGTTTGAAGGTTTTATGCGCTCAATACCCCATCCTTTTTTCCCTGCTATTTTATGAGCCAGTGTTTGCTATGTGATTTTGCAGTCACAGAAAATGTTGATGCTCTGTCTCCTGATAACAGAAGCTTCTATCTACTCTGAAATCTCTTTCTGCAAGCTAACTCAAGGTGGGAACATCTGTATTTCTTAAAGCAGTAGATTAAGAGGAGACAGTCCTACTTCTGAAGAGCACTCTGCTCCCTAAGGCAATTCTGTGGTCAGCCACCAGCATTACTGTGGCTTTGCCAGGCTTGTATGTCAGGGTGGAAGCACAGCACTTCCAGTTTCCATTTACCTGGCAAGGTACTCTTCAGTAAAGAATTGCTGCCAGGATTCCATACCTCATGCTGACTCTAAACTTGCTGCATTCCAAATGGAGACCAAAAGCTCTGCAGATTTTAACCCTTTTCAGGATTTTTTTTTTGGAGGTAGTACAGAAAATGTTCCTGGAAAACTTAAGTCTTTTTCTGGAAAAGTCCCTGTGCTTACAAACCTAAGAGACAGCATGGTGAAATGGGTTTTGAAGTCAGAATAGCAGTGCAAGCCATTTAATACTGATGGTGCTGGATCTCATTCTGGGGATGACCCAAGTGTTTCTTCCTTCTTGCCTTGCATTTCTGCTGACTTCAGAGTGTTGATGAACCCACAAAAAGTGTTGTGTAATAGTGCAAACTCCATAGTAATCTGGGCAGCTGGCCAGCTCGTGCACTGGTTGAACTGCTTATTGTGGGAATTCTCTCTTTTTAATTATACATGAAAAGTAAATTACTTCTTTCTGGAATTGCTCTCATTTGGTTTTATTGATTTTCAGATTGGCAGTATTCATCTTATCATGCTTTCTGTAAATGGATTTGGTCACGTTCAAAGGTTTTACTGTATGCTAGAACTCAGACTGAGAAAAGCCAGACCTCTCATAAACCTCCAGCAGCCCTTTTGTATCCTGAAGTTATTTGATGTTGGCTGAAGCCATTTGGTGTTGTAAAAGCAGTATTTTCCTTGTCCTTTGGAACTGCTGAGATTTATCATTACCTCATTTTTTAAGAGCCAAGGTGGAAAGCCAGCCTGAACCTGCTCCGAGCAAAAGGTAGTACACAGGCACTGGTACTCTTAATGTTGAACTCTTTTAGTTTCTGGGCATCTGTTGCTTTATTTGTCATACATGGCTGTGAATGAGACACAAGGAATGTTTAAAGTGTAAATCTAGCAGTGTGTCAGAAAAAACCCCACAACCCAACTCTTAGAGCTTCATTTTACATCCTTACCTCCAGAGGTTAGTGGATTTGTTTTCTTCTCCGTCAAAATATCTTAGAAAAAATTCCTGACATTTTGTAGCTCTTTCTCTTCTTTCTACCTCTGATATTTACCAAAAATGGTCAGCAAATGAACAGAAGAGAGTTTTTATTTCAGACTAATAAAAACTACAGCAAGCAAAATGGCAGCTTGTTTAAAACATCGGTTTCCTGAAGCATCTACACTACTCTCTCCCACTTGCTGTCATGATGCCATGGTGTGGCACTGCTACTGCCTTTGTTCTCCACTGCTTGCCTTCATTGAAATTATGTTGGATCATCTGACATCTGTGTAGCTGCAGCAGTCAGCTGCAAGAAATATTAAAGATTGACTGTGACATACAGTTTATAGCCTTTAGGAACTACTGAGTTACATCCTTTTTGTTTCATGAGGCCGTGTAGTTTAAAAAAAACCCTCTGCTCTGTAAAGATATAAAGCATCTATTTATTATACAGATATAAATTATGATAAACATTTTTTTAATCACAACTTCTCAGTCAAATGCAAAAGGACTAATTTTAAAACTCATATTGCCCTGATTTTGTAATGATGAATGACCCGTATAACTTTCTCCTTGTCAGACTTATGACTGTTCAGTTTTGGATTACATTTCTTTTAGTCATTAGCATATCTTAGCTAATGACCAAGCCAGTGCTTCCCTCACTGTTCATTGCACATCTGTATTCTACCAGCCACTCCCAATGTATCTTCTGTTTCTTATTGCCCAGATCTCAAAAAAGTTACAAAGCCATTTTCCAAACCTCAAAGTAATTATCTTTTACCATGATGCTCTGAATTTTTCAGAATTGGGAGTAAATTTTCACTTCATGATTACCTAGGTTTGTATTTCTTACAATTAATTCCTTTGTTGCCATTATTTTCTAGTGCCACTGCAGAAAGATTGTTTTCCTCATATTTGAAAATTCTTTTTTCTTTATAAACTGAATTTATAATTTTTTTTCTAAACCCTTCTAGCATTTCTTGGGCAGACCCTCTTTTTCTTACGATCACAGTAATTCCTGAACATAAGCTTCTTTTCTAAGCTTCTTTTCCAAGGAAGGAAATTTTCCTTCCTTGCATCTGCTTTGCTTTAGGAGAGACTGATGTGACAAATGCCACAGATGCTGTATCTTCAAGCCTCTCCACAAAATCTTCTCTTTACACATGAGCATGTGTAAGTGATCCATCGCCACTCTGCACCAAAATATTCATTCATGTCTGGATTTGTTGCAAATACACATCCCTAAAGGTCCATTTACAGTTTGCTCCTTCACTGTTCTTCTATTTTGGACTCTCCCAAAAAGTTTCTAAAAGTGTAATGCCCCTAACTACATGCTGCTACAGGAATGGAGAGTGGAACATTTTTCTCCCTGCATCTTGTATCCAAAACATCTGTGTTAATATTTGTAATTTTCCTAATTTTCTATAGGTTTCCATGTTAATTTTATACCTGGATTATTTTCTAAAGCTATACCAATATAACTTTTCACATTATGATTTCCAGTTTATTTTCTCCTTGACCAAAAAACAAAATAGCTTATGTGGGTATTTAATTTGTCTAGATATGCTGCAGATATTCCAGTTTGGATTAAGAAATGGACCCACTTCCATGGTTCACCATGAATTAGGTGAACTGTCTTCTGAGCCTAGAAAAGAAATTATAAGAGAAAATATGGTAGAGATGCCTGAAATAATGAGTGGAATTGATAAAATGAATAGAGAAAAATTATTCAGTTTTTCACAGCCTGAGAACACATGAGCAACAGTTGAAACTAGTAACAATTCCAAATCAAAATATTTTTTTTTTTTAAGTAAAGTTGGACTGTATAAAAATTTCTCAGATGCCATAAATCATTGGAGCATTTACAAGTATGGGCTCAGTGTAGGCTCACCCTATTCTTATGTATTCCCAAGGCATTTGATTTTGGGGCCATTGTGAGAAACTATACAGGACCAAGTGGAATTTCAACAGTGTGCCTCTTTTTAGGACAAGTGTTAATTAAGTCATTATTTTCCATTTAGATATAACTAGAAACTTAATTTCAATTAAGTTTCATTGTATTTAGGCATTGCAAGTAGATATGAAGAGTAGATGGGAAAATATTACCAGCAATTTTTGTAACCCTTGTTTGAATGGAGTCAGCTGAAATAGTACACTCTGTTTTAATGATTTTTAACTGAAAAGAGTAGGCAGCTCAGCGGATCCAGTTTTGGATTCTCTCCAGGCATGAAGCCCTATGAATGATGTGGTTTCAGGGGCCTGAATCCAACAAACATGCAAGTAGGCATGTACACAGAAGAGGAGCCAAATGGGAGTGAGAGCGAGATGTACAGCATGATCTGGGCTCTTTGCCAATTAATATGGAAAACTTGTTCTGTGGCATTTCCTATGCAAATGCAAAGAGTGCTTTGAAAGTCTGGGCTTTTTTTAATTAGCTGCAGGTGCCAGACAATACAGAACAATTTTACTTAGGAGTTTTATTCCTTAAGTTATTAATGGGCAGCTGTTGTCAGTTAAATAGTATCACATTTTGGGCAAATTATTTTACATGAAATACAAGTGGGCCTGTGTCATGTCCAGTTATCAAGAAAGATTTAAAAAACTGGATGAGTACAAATTTATAATTATTTTTTTTAAATTCCTAGTATTTATTTATCTGTACTGGATGTGCAGACCTGTGCAGACCTCACTATTGCACTGACAGCCACATGTTTTGTGTGTGAATAGAAAAAACTATCAGAAATCTTACAGAAACCACATTAATCTTCCAGAAAAAAAATATGGATGAAGTAAACCTGGCCTGGATATTGTCCTAAAGCTCCACCCCCTGCTTCATGGTATAGATACTGTGTAGTAGCTGAACTGTTTCAGTGGTGAGAAGGGTTTGTAAGTCCTGTGGAAATGTTTGTCCCCTGGCTGCAAACTGAGGGATCAGGAATGCCCGCTGGACTTGATAAGGCTGGAAGTGGGAGATGCAGGCACAGAAAGTTCATCTGTTTACTTCTGCTTCTGGTTGACAAATTTCAGAGCAAGATGGTTTCTGGCTGCTAAATTACAAGTCTTCTTGAACAAACCAAGAGAGACCAAGGTCCTTTGACTGAGCCCAATATACATCTGTGGAGTTTTTTTAAAGGCTATTTAGCCACGACTATGCAATGGCAGAAGACCAAAATGTGATGCCTGCAACTTCTAATGACTGGCATTGCAAATAATCCTCCTTAGGCAACAATCATCCAGAAAATGTCAGCATAGGGAATTCTTAACTACAGAGGATTTATAATTATGTGTTCAGAAATATATGTCTAACTGAAACTTTTGAGAATTTTAAAGCAGATGCTCCTTTTCAGGGATTATGGACTCTTCTCAAGGTCTTGCATCTTAAACTGACATATCTTCATCTCTCTGCAAGACTATTTGTGTGTTCTCCCAAATAAAGTTTATGGGTTCTTTATTTTCTTTCATGGATTATGCATTTTTAGAATTTTGATAATTGACTAGGTAGAAAATGCATTAGTGTGGAATTTTTCTGAGAGGGTGATTGCATTGCATTACATTATAAGCACATTCTAAAAAAGACCAAGAAGCAGGTTTAGCATTACTCTCTAACAGAAATAAGAATAAATTTGCTCAGTAGTTACAATGAGCTATCTGACATTTTGACATTTGGTCATTTGGTATTTAGTGTCAGCTTTAGAGATTATAATGCACCAAAAGAAAGTGGTCAGTGAAGACCTACTAGTGGAGCTTTTTGTTTTTTAAGATAAGATAAAAAAGGCCAATAAATAAATAATACAGAGATGCACCTTCTGTTCTGGAAGAGTGAGGGTGACTAGAGTTTATTCCTCAATCTTCAAAATTTATGCCAGTCTGAGCAAACAAACTTTTAAAGCTTTGAAACAATTCAAAACAAAGCAAAACAAAACAAAAAACTGTCATGACTGTGTACAGTCCATTAATATTGAGGATAGTATATTTATTGGAAATATAAGGAAATTGGCATCTAAATTTTTATATACAGAAAAACACATTGTTACTGCAGAGCCCTCCAGCACCCTTGATGGTAATTAAAAAGGCCATTCTTTTTCAAGCATAGACCTTTCTCCACAACAGCTCCACCACCCAACTCCCGTCAAGCACTGCACAGACACACATCAAGAACTTGTCAGAAGATCAAAAGGGTGACACACCATGCCTTCCTCCAAAACACACTGAAGCACTGTGTTCATGTGTGTGTGTTCCCACCATGAACAGATGCACAGATCCTTAGTTTCCTAGGTGGCTGCTCAGTAATGCTGATAATTCCAGTTTTCTGCCCAGGAGAATTATTTGTCTAGGAATATGACTTTAGGAAGAAGAAAGGAGCAGTCTCAACTTGGAAAACACATTATCAAATTAAGGCTTTTTTTTTTTCAAATAATTTTACTTGGCATTAAAAGGCCTGAAGGGATAGAGCAGAATTAAAGGCCTCACATGATCTCCTACCATTTTGCCCACTCCAGCTTCCACATACACAATGGGAGCATGTGAGATTTCAAGTCAGAGAGCTGCACTGCTGACAAAAAAGCCTGCAAGGACTTGGTGAAACCCTTACCTTTAGATTATGCCAATAATCCAGATGGGAATAAAAGTTGCCATTCAGAACTGCCCACTAAGCCAAAATGCTTTACAATATGGATTTCACCACTTTCTGGCAAAATTCAAGTGGGCATAAATAAGGCAAACTTTAACTCAGTAAGGAGGCTGAAAAAAGCTATTCTAGTTTAATAACCTGACTATTAGGAGTTTCTGCATGTAATTTTTGTTTTCATGGTTCAATACAGAAATCTGTAAATGTCTTTGGGATAATATGGATAAACTTGATATAAGAGTCTAGACTACTGGGAACTGTGGCAAGAAAGACTAATGTGACCTGAATTCCTTTAGAGAATATCTTTTCTTAACAACTCCTCACGTGTGTGCTGTGTTACTTATTCTACACTAGAGGGGAAAAAAAAAAAAAATCTTTGTTTTACCTACTATCTACTCCAATCTTCCACAGCTCCCAGCAGCAAACTTCTCTTAGGGTCCTGTGTAAGTAACTGATATTTCCTCTGAATAGAAGCTTCACAGTTGAATTACTTGTTCATAATATCACAAGAGAAAAATGGGAGAGACCCTTTGGAGAATTTTTCTGTCCTTGAAAAACAGAAAAGCAGGAAAATAACTACAAAGTCCTTTCCTTCCTAATTGAGAATGACTCCCTGAAATATTTCAGGAATATAATATATTCATAAATGTTCTTTGCTCCATTTCCTCCTTCTAGAGAATTTCTTCTCTCTTTTGCAAAAAGTTCACATTCAAAGTCTGTATGGTACATGTCTCTGCAGTAGCCAGGGCTGCAATTTCTTTAACTCACTCTCCTAGAGGACATAAAGTACATGCTTCTTTTTTTATTCATCTTATGCTTGATGTAATTCAAGAGTACTTCCTTGTAACCCTTGAGAGATGATTGTTTCAACATGGAAAATAAATGGTGGGAAAATTTTTTATCTGTCCATCTCTTGCATGTCCCCTGCCTAAGCTTCTTTGTGTAACAGCAGTGAGTGGCAGTGCCCGTGAGCATGAGCAGACATGAGTTTGTATATTCTTCTATGAGACCAAGCATTTAAAAGAGCTGGTTTTCCCCTGCTTTGAGAATCTGCCTCTCTAAGGCAGGGTTGTGCCAAACCCTTAACACTTAAAATTTAAAAAATACAAATCTCATGCATTTGTATTTCTAAAAGGTATCCCTAAGGATACCTTTTAGAAATACAAATGCATGAGATGCAGGGTTTGGGGGCTAAAAAATAAAAATATTGCCTTTTGGGGTAGTTTTAGTTTCTCAGTGTATACTTTTCTCATAAGCTTAAGTTTCACAACAATAAAGCTTCATAATTAGCTTTTATAAAAAAAGTTTTAACCTAGAACATAGATTTTTAAAAAAGATTGAGTGTTTTAAAACTCACAGTAAATTTTCAAAAGTTGTCAACATTGTCAAGAACTTGATTTTATCTTCCAAAATAGGAAATCATGTAGTAAATTCCTCACTTTAGTCACCTTGTTGGGAGAAAGAAGAAAGAGCGGCCACCATGTTGCAACAATTTGAGCCTTGGTATTTTTTTTTTTTCCAGAGTTAGAACTTGCCCAGAATATTTTTGTTCAGCTTTCAGGCAGAGAAGGGGCACTTGCTGAATTTGGCTTCCTTTGCTTGTAATATAAATACCTGCTTTATTTGTTTGTTTTATTTTTCTCATTTTTCAGCAACAGTTGGCCAAAAATATAAAATTTGGGCAGCCTCCACAAATGACAATATCTGCAAGGACGATGGGGGAAGCAAATGCCAGTACAGAAGATGATGCACTGCTCAGCAGCCCCATGGAGACTGAGACCCAGCAGGACACGGTGATCTCAGACTGCACTAATAAAGTGAGCACTTTAAATTGACATGTCCATGGCACTAGAGCAGTGCTAAAACAGCAAAGTTTACTGAGGTGTAGCAGATGTTTCCAGTGAGGCATAGCAGAGCTCAGTGGGCTGTTTTATGTGGGAGGGATCTCTCAGCTTGTGCTTCTTGGCCTGGTGGGAAGCATGCTCCTGGCATCCTGAGCCAGGTTGCACAGAATTACTGGTTGAGTGTTTGCTCTGAGCTTCCAGCAGTGCAGACATTGCTTCCAGTTGCTAGAACACAGGCATTTTCTCTAATACAGAAAACATTTTGAAATATAGACTTCCCAGCAAGGATAGTTGTTCACAACATCAAATACCAAAAAGGAAAATAACTTCTAAATGAGAGGTGTGTGAAGCCCAAACCTGTACAATCCTAGGTCTTGGAGTAAGTACACATATTTCTCATGGACAGGAACCAACGGCAAAGAAGGGGGAGAAGCATTTTGAATGCTTACTAAAGTTTTATTTTATTTATATATTTATATATTATCAGTATAATTCAAATAATTATTTAAATTATTCATGGAGATTTTGATGCTGTAGGCATTTAGGTGTCCAGAAAGGTCTTTTTCAGACAGTGAAGAAACATGGCAAGTGAGGAAAGGTGTCTGGAATAGCCCTTAGGATCCTGGGACACCGGGGTATGAGCCTGTGCTCATGTTCACTCACACTGTGCTGTCTGTGTGGGAGGCCAAGGCAGAAGGGTCCTGTGCAGTTCATGCCTATGTTCAGCCAAACATACTGAAGGGAGATTTATGGCTGAGCTGGCCCAAATTCTTCACCTGTCTTTAAAGGACAACATAGCTCCTCTGTGACCACTTCTTTCATGGTTGTGGCTCAATCTGCAAGGGAGCCAGGCATTTTGGTAGGACCTGCACACTCACACCTCTCCCTTGGTGATCTGGAAAGATAAAAATTAAACCAAATTAAGGTATTTTTTTTTTGCCTAACAAGTACTTCTTCTGGTGTGATCAGGTGAGGTGAATCAAGGGGATCCTGTGTGCCTCAGAGCACAAAGTGTGCAGTGGGACTGTGGACAGGCATTGGTGATGCACTATACCTACCCTGGTGCTAGGTGAGTCTGTGTTTGAGATAAACACAGATTCTCTACAGACAGCCTTCTTCCTGGCTCCTGCAGGAGACCCTAGTGCCACCTGGTGACTTCCAGCTCAAAGGATACAGTAGTTCAAGCATTAAAAACCCGCTAGAGTATTTTTGTGTAACACAGAGGGAGAAATTCAGTTCTTACTAGCTACTCTTTAAAATACTACATTTTGAAAACAAAATTAACACCTCTTTGCGCAATTCTTTTTCCAAATACTGAAGAAGCAACCATGCCAACTTAGAGGCAGTTGGAGACACAAACAAACCAATTTTCCATGGATAGTGTCAGCCAGAGCACTTGGTACTTTCCTTTTGTTTCTGCACTCTGCTAATTACCTGTGTTATCAGAGAATTCTGGTGCATGGCAGCTTCCCTGGTTTCTGCTCCTGTCTCACCTGCTGGCCCTGTAACTCCTTGCCATGTCCATCTGCATAGGTCTTGGGCAGGGGGGGTGGCTTCTGTCAAGAATTGGTGGCCAGGACCACATAGATCTGCTCTACTCCTGTGGTGCTCTCTGACTTCTGATTTTCCTGACTGAGTAACGTGGATTGGTGGAAAGAGTTTTGGGTTTAATTTAACTTGTAGATGTGAAGCTGAGCTTTCAGCCTTGATATGAAAAATCATGTGGTGTAATCAGATCCCAACATACATTAGGTTATGAAGTGATACTGGGATAGAATGATTAAAACTAAAGTTTCTGGGTGTGATGAATGCTGCTTCAAGCCCTATGCCTTGAAAATTCCTTACCATGATGGCTTGGAGAGACACAGTAGCTAAAGACTCCTAGTTATCCAGGCTTCCATGGCTCTGGGGGACTGTTGGCTCTCTAAAAAGAGTAATCAAGAACATGGAGTTGAAACTCCTTGCAGCTAATGCCTGAACAGGCTAATATCTTTTTTCCTTATGTGTAAGTCAGGAGAAAATAAAATCATTAAGACCTGATCAAAATCCTACAAAGCAAAATCCTCTTTCTTTTGTTTTGGAAACTGAATATCTTGTTAAGGAAGCCTGATTGTTTTGCCTTTTGTAGTGCTGTATAGACAGCAGTGATTCAAGGAGCAGTGAAGACAAGCTCAGAGCATGCAGGAACAAGAATTGCTTATCCATCAGTCCTGAAGGGAGGAAAGAGGGAAAGAATCCTATCCATTAACATATATGATTTCACATGTCCTTTGAATCATAATTAATCAATCCTTTCCATTTTAATACTTGTTTGTGGTAATCTTTTCTAGTCCACTGACACTCCAGATTTCTTGAGAAAAATGAATTTTCTTGGAACAGGACATGAAATGGAAGAAAAGGTAAAAGAACTTTCATACTTGGTTTGCACTGAGTTACATTCTAATTTTAGATATTAGAAGCCTTACAGTTTTTGTTTTCATGCATTGTTTGCTTGATCATCCAATATTTTGTGAATGCTGTGCAGTTTTGGAGCTAGCAATAACTAAGATTGAGAAATCTTAAGAGCTGATTGCAGGAAACAGCAGAACCCAGTCTCTGCCAGTCTTGCAGCATTCCTCTATTTGATGTATTAATCACAGAGTCATAATTTTCATAAGTACTTCTAATACTTTGTTATGTCTGCATGTAATTCAATAAGCATATGCAAAATGTTTCCTCAGCTTTTAAGTAATTGGTTCCCTGATTAGCATATGTTTAACCTCAGAAGATTACAGAGCTGTCTTGAAAACAATGTATATGATTTCTTTCCTTACAGAATACATTTCTCCCCCTTTTTTTTTTTCTCTCTGTCTTTTTTCCATTTGTGTTTTGCCAAATGCAAGTCTTGGGATGATAGCTTGAGGACTTATGGAAGAGACAGATGACAGGCTCATTCTTACACACCTAGATATACAGTTCTGCTATTTATTCACAAAAAGGGTCTCACTGAATCACTCTGCTTATATTTGCACTTTCTGAACCCAAATATTTGAAGGGCATGAGAAAGAAAGCACCCATCAAAGCCAGTGTTGTCTTACTTTAGTATTTTGCTATTTGGAGCTGTCTTGGACCATTCCACACGACTCTGGAGGGAAGGTTTTCCACAGACACCATGCCAGTTGGAGATCCAATGCTGCTGTCATCTCCCATGCAGAAAGTACAGCTCTGTAGCTGTTCTATTATGAAGTTTAGATAAGTCAATCTGATTTGCTTCTGCCTACAGTGTATAATCTAAATTATTTAAAGATGTAGATCTTTTTTCACAGTAAACAAACTTTAAAATGTCCCAATGTTTGATGTTGCTTAAAACGCTGCCTGTGCCTTTCCCATTCCCAACAAGTTCAGAGTGGAGCTAAGCTCTGAAAAAACTTCAGTGGAATGGTCTAAGTAATTTCTATGTGAACACTATAAAAATGTGTAGTGCTGAAAATGGGAACATATTAGAACTGCAACTTTCATGTCCAAAGTTTGTAATTTGTATAATGGAAAGCCAGGGTTTCTAATATTTTCTGCTAGTAATTCCTTTGAATTCAAACCTGCAAAAATGTGTGTATGTGTCTGTAATTTATTTATTTATGTATTTATTTATTTAATGGAACAAATAGCTTAATAACGGTTTATTGTGTTTGTGATACAAACAGGTCACTCCAATTAAATCAACTCGGCCAAAAAGACAGTTTTCCTGTTCTGGCACAATTGAAACAATCAATTTGGATTCAGTTCCGCAGGCTCTTGCTCGTCTAGACAACAGTGCAGCTAAGCACAAACTGTCAGTGAAGCCAAAAAAGCAGAGGATGTCAAGGCAGCACAAGAGATTGACAAAGGTATTAAACGGCTGGCCAAAAGCGAGAGGAGGGAAATTACTTTTGAAACTGGGTACAAAATAACCATAAACGAGTGTACCAGGATCTATAGGCAGAGGACATAAGATCTGATCAACACTGTTATTTACCTGAAACCCTAACTGGAGAGAAGATGCAAAGAAGATTTAATATTGCCAGTTGAGACAACTGCTACTTAAACCTGAATTACTTCCACTAGGATTTTACATTAAGAGAGTTTTCTGATTCTAGTTTTTCTAGTAAAAACTTTAGGTCATAAAGGCCTGAAGATATGTGCTGCTGTTAATGCTGCTCTGATACAGGCAATCAGATGGTGCAAAATTTGGTTGGGAAAAAAAATCAAATTCTCTAAATTGGGCATGGATTCTGACGGGGTAATATCTTTGCCTTATAAGAAGGAATAAGACTTAAGCAATGTAGCTCTTGCAACAGCTATAGAGAGAAATATAAAGTTGTAGCTTTGTACACTTACTGCACATCTGTTTTGATTTTTATCCTGACATCTTATTTGTTCTTGTAAATGGGACAAGAGTATTCAAACACATGTGTCAGGAGAGCCCACTTCCCCTTCTTCTGCACATTGTACTTGCATTTATCACTGTTGTAATGAAGGAATTAAATTTAAACCTCTTGTTTATATAATGGTTAACTGGAGCCAAACAATGGCTCAACAAATAATAGCTAGACAGGACATTAACTGAGCTGTTTTCCTAAAGGGAAGCACTCTTCAGGTACAGAACAGAGCAGTATTCCTGGGAAGCTCTGGCTGTGCTATCCATACATGTTCCCACGGCTCCTACAATAGCACTGGAGTCTCAGCACAGCTAATGAGGAAGATATCCTGGCTCAGGATTTGTGAAAAGAAAGCAAATTGTGTTTCCCTGAGGAGTGTTCTTTCCTGGCTAGCATTGCAGAGCTTTTTTCTGCAGGCAACAGCTCTGTCTCTGCAAGTATCAGATTTGCCATGAAAGAACTGGCAAAACAATGCCCCTAAGTATGCATTAATTATTTCAGGCTTAAAGGATGGAGTTCTAAGTAGCAGAAGAAGATTGGGCATATGAAACTCATGCTCGGTTCCTTGGGCTTCTGCAAATTTAAAATAACAGGTCTCAATATACACCAAATGGTGATTCAATATTGGCATTATACTGCTATCACTCTTGGGATGTTTTCTTTCTTTTAAAGGCTATCATCTGAATAGGGGAGAGACATGGGATCTACGATGATATAATCCATAAATTGGAGTGGGGTGTGTTGGCTCATCTAAGTCACTGTTTAATTTTTTTTTTTTTGCATTTGCAACTCTTGGTTCACTGTGAAGGATAACAAGCCAACAGGCAATGTTCAGTAACTCCAAACTTGTCTCCAATTTTAGGGATCACAAAGTTTAACAATAACAGAATTTGAGCCAGAGGATCTAGAAACGCAGCTGTATGAGGACATATACCCAGGTTATAATGGACGCTTCACAGCAGACAAGCTAATCCAGGACAGAGATGAGCATAAGCAGCTTCAGCTGGCAGAGGAAAAAAGAATTGAAGATCAGTGGGGTATCCTTGAAGCTGAAAGGATAAGACAGATTGTAGAAATGGAAGAACAAAGAGAAATGGAAGAAAAAAGGTGCCAAGAACTCGAAGAGATGCAGAAAGAACAGGAAAAAAGATGCTATGAAGAAGATAGGAGGCAATACCTCCTTGAAGGAGAGACATCTTTGAAAATAGAAGAGCAAACATGCCATAAAGAGGAAAGAAGACTGATGAAGGCTGAAAAAAGGCCAGAGCTGGAGGACCAGATGCAGAAGGAGTTGGAGAAGCAACAAAGACAAAATCTGGAGGAGAAGAGGCACTGGGAAGTGGAGGAGCAACAAAGACGAGAGCTGGAGGAACAGAAGCTTAAGGAACAGGAGGAACAACAGAGACAAGAGCTGGAGGTGCAAAAGCTCAAGGAACAGGAGGAACAACAGAGACAAGAGCTGGAGATGCAGAAGCTTAAGGAACAGGAGGAACAACAGAGACAAGAGCTGGAAGTACAAAAGCTCAAGGAACAAGAGGAGCACCAGAGAGAAGAGCTGGACAGGCAGCAACACCAGCAATGGGAGGAACAACTGAGACTAAAGCAGGAGGAAGAGAAGAACCGGGAACAGGAAGAGCAAGAGAGACGAGAGCTGGAGGAGCAGAAGCACCAGGAACAGGAAGAGAAGAGATGTCAGGAATTGGAGGAGAAGCATCAGGAATGGGAAGAGCAGAAGCAGAAGGCTCTGGAGGAGAAACAGAGACAAGAGCTGGAGGAACAGAAGAGGCTAGCACCAGAAGAATTAAAGCAACATAGGACTGAAAAAGACAGTCAAAAGGAAGAAGAAAGAAAATGGCTGGAGGAACAAGCAGAGCTCAAGAAACAAAATAAGGAAGAAATACAGCAACAAGAGCTAGAAAGGAAAGAGCTTGAAGAAATTGAAATAAAACTGAATCAGGAGGAAGAGCCTGAGAGCCTCAAACGAGAGAAGGAACAGGAAGAACAAAGACATCATTTGAAGGAGAAAGAAAAGACAGAGAAAGAACAACCCCAGCAAGTGACAGATAAGAAACAGAAACGGGAAGAGCAGAGAAAACACAAACTAACAAAACAAATGCACATGGAAAGTTCAGACTGTGTTCTACAAGATGAACTGAAGCAGCAAAAGGAAGAAAATGGACATGAATGCAACAAGCTGAAAGAGCAGAAGGTAGACACAGAAGGACAAAATCTTCAGCCAAAACAAAAAAAATCCTTGGAACAGCCACAGGAAAAAGATGAGTTGTGTTCTGCTGGAGGGTCTGCTAGGCATCCAGCAGAGGAGAAACTCCAAGAAGGATCAAGTTCCCAAAAAGTCAAACGGCCAGAAAAAGGGACTAAAACAGCAGAAGAAATACTAGCCCAGAAACTGAAAAGAGAAGTTGAGGCTCAGGAGCAAAAACGCATAGGGGAAGAACTGCGGTGGCAAGAGGTAGATGAAAGACAAATGGCATCCAGACCTTTCACATTTCAAGTGTCTTCTGGAGATAAACAGATCATATTTCAGAAAGTAAATCTGAGTCCTGTTATGCCCATCAAAGGAGCAGGACTCTCTTCTCCATCTGCCAAAGACAGCAGGGTGCACACTACCAGTAAGGGCTCTCATTCCCTCCCATCATCTGTGTGTGTACCCCACACAGCTATTTTGGTTACTGGAGCACAGCTGTGTGGCACAGCAGTGAACTTGAACCAGATTAAGGACACGGCTTGCAAATCATTACTTGGCTTAACAGAAGAGAGGAAAAATGTGGATATTCCCTCTCCAGAGAAATCTGAGAGAAAAAAACAGGATCCTAAACCCAGCAGCAGTAAAATGAAACATGCACAAGAGGCACTGAACAACCAGGCCGTACTGGCTGAGTGGGCCTCTATCCGCTCCAGAATCCTAAAGAATGCAGAAAACAACAAATATAATGAGAGAGACCGAGTGACTGCCTGCAGGCACAGTGATGACTGGACACCCCGAGGACGTGGTGCTCCCCACGGCAACTTGAGGAAAACCCTCTCTGCAAATGCAAAGTTCTCAATAACACCAGCATGGCAGAAATTTTCAGACGTTTCAAAAACCAATTCAGATGCTGAGAATGTGCATGTGGCAAAAGGCAATGAAACAGTGGCTGTGGGGAGAACCACTGGCTCATCTGCTGATTCAAAGGAGGATGTGGTTTCCACTTTTAAGGATAACTTAGCTGAAAAACCTAAAGAGAAAATGGAAACCCATAGGGAAGTGACAGACAACACTGAAGGCTGTAAATTTGCAAAAGATCTTCCATCATTCCTTGTACCAAGTTTTCCACAGTCTATGGGGAAGGAATCATCCCAGCCAGAACTTCCCAATGCTCTGGAAAATCAGCAGAGTAACAGCACAAGAAAAGCAGATAAGCCACCACCAAATGGAGAAGAAAATGTTTCTCCTTTTGGGATAAAGTTACGAAGGACAAACTACTCTTTACGTTTTCATTATGACCAACAGGCAGAGCAAAAGAAAAAGAAAAGATACAGTGCAGGAGACAGTTTTGATGGTGTGCCTGACCCACTCACCTCAACAGAAGGTGAGAAAGAATCCTCTGTTTTCACTTCAAAAGAAAGTACCTCTCCTGGCACTGGGAGAGCAAACATCCCTGGTAATTTAAAAGACTCTTCAGTTACCGTGGTGGAGTTTTCAACACCTGTGGGCACACCAGTGGTCTCACCAACCACTGGCCAGAGTGCTTTACCTGCTCATGAGAAACCAGCATGCAAGTCACTGGTCCCACAAAAACCTGCTTTAGCTCCAAAGCCCACCAGCCAGACCCCACCACCATCTCCTCTCTCTAAAATGAACAGATCAAACCTATCTGAAATGCTGGGGCAAAGAGTGGTTAAAGCTGAATCAGATGGTGGCTGGAGAAAAGAAGACAGACCAAATGCAACCATACCATCCAATGACTACAAAAATGAAGAGGAAGAAATCAAAGAAAAGAAGTCATTTTTCCCATCTCTAAGTATTCCATGGAGAGAAAAAAATGACAAAAAGCCTGAGCCATTGAAGAAAGGTATGTATATCTCAAAGCAAATTTACCTATTATCTACATTTCCAAAATGAGATACTGGAGGTCCAGAAGAAGACATTTGGTCTTAAGTTATAATTTTTACCTGGCCTGCAGTGTGTGTGTGTGTGTGTGTATGTTTTTCCTTGCAAGAATGTTACCTCTGCCTCTAGTGAGTCAGGTGATGGACTCTGTGGTCCATGGATAATGGTGTCATCAGAGCAGATGGTGTAATTTTTAAAATCTACATTCGGTTGCTTCTCTTTTTAAAGAAATGTTATCTAGCTTAAACAATATTAAGATGTATGTCCCCTTATCGTGGGGAAATTCTTTATTTAAGCAATACACCTGGGCACAGCAGTCTGTGCTTCAGAGGCATCCTTCAGTGATGAAAACAATTAGAGCAGCCATAATGTCTCCTCAGAAGAGAGTTGAAAGCCCCTGTGTCCTGAAATGGCATTCTGTACAAGAGGGAAAAGTACCCTTTCAGAGTAAGGACACTCAAAAAACCAAGGCAGGAATTCAGCACTTCATTGGGAAATCCCAATATTTTTCATTCTTGAATTTTTCAAACATCAGGACACTTCTAAAACACTATCTCAGTGGAACTGCTGACTTTTTGTTTCTTTTTTTTCACGCACACACACACAAAAGGATAAATTTGAGCAGCTGGGTGTGTCGAATTAGGTCTTATTCCTGAGGCATAAAATCTGTTTCAGGATTTGTTGTGCAGTCTGCAAAGGTCCGTGACTGACATGGCATTCAATGGGCTTAGCTCCAGAATTTTCACAAGGTAGTTGTAGGGGTTTTCTCACGACAAGAGATGTGCATTACTCAATCAATTCTTGTCATGTTTTCTTTCAGAAAAGCCTGTCCTTCAGAGCAGGCACTCTGTAGATGGCTCTAAATTGTTGGAAAAAGTGGAAACTTCACAACCACTTTGGATTACATTAGCACTGCAAAAGCAAAAGGGATTTCGTGAGCAGCAAGCTACGAGGGAAGAGAGAAGACAAGCAAGAGAGGCAAAGCAAGCAGAGAAACTGGCTAAAGAAAATGTAAGCAATCCTCAGAAACCTGCCCATTAGAAACACTGACACCATAATGATAACTGTTAGCTACCTTTGTTATGTGGGAATATTTTTTTTAATGTCTGGTAAGACTTCATAAAAGCTAAAATGACAGTGAATAAAATGTATTCTCAAAGTCTGGAGTTCCCTCTTGCAAAACTGAGACCTCCAGGAGAAAATACGGTGCAATAGTCTGGCAATTTTAGTGTAAACTCTGATGACGGCAGGTGGTAGTTAATGACAATCATAAGCAGAACTACTGTGCAGGGGATAGAACAGAAAAATTGCCTGCAGGGTGGTACTTTCAGAGCTTACATGAGATGTTAACCTTTAATGCTCAGGGAATAACAGCTGCAATATGCAATTATAGGTGAATATTACTAAATTTGAATTTATTTTTATTGCACCATGTACTATTTGGGTAAAATACAGATGAACAAAAGAAATGAACAATCACGATATATCCAAATGCCTAAAGCAGGCACTGAATTCAATCACTTCTTTTCTGTTCTCCCAATAGCTTTTTACTCTCTATGGCTTTCTATTAGTAAGGGAAACATTTCTGCTTACAGTACCAAAGTGATGCTGCACAAACATGATGTTGTATATAGATATCACAGATGGTAAAAAGGGAGAGTATGTGGATAACTAAATGTATTTTGCTCTTTGTTATGAGAACCAAATTTCTCATGGATACATGCATAACCTGAGACATAGACAACTGATGGAAGAAAACAGCAGTGGGTGTGGTTGCCCACAGGTGCACATTGTTTCAGTGCTGTATTTAACAGGGAAGGCTGGCTCTAACTCTGTATTTTGACTGAAATGACAACATAACAAATTAAACTTTGTGGTGGCCTTTTTACAGTCTTCAATAATTGTTGGTTCAAGAAGTATCAGTGTTGTGAATCTTTGCCAAAAAGGAAGGTTAAGGAAAGGCCAGGTGATGAATGAAAGCATCAAGTGTTAATCTCTAACTTGTAGCCATTACATGACAGACTTTCTCATTTAGCAATTTTCTTTCTCTGTTCTAGGCTGCTGTAAGTAATCAGTCAGATAATAAAAGTAGCAGCAGCAAAACAAGCACACTGCAGAAATCTACAACTCAAGAAGGAGAGAAGAAAATTGATACTGCTGTGTCAAGACTAGAAAGAAGGGAGCATCTAAAAAAGTCGAACACCCTTCCAACTTCTGTGACAGGTACAGTTGAGAGATTCAGTTTCACTCTAGGAATAATGCACTTCAGAAATGGTATTGCATGTTTTTAAGAACGTGAATGAGGGGATTTCCTTTCCCTCATATACTACTGCTAGAATTACAAATGCATTCCATAAAATAACACAATTTATTCCCATCTCATGTGCTGGCCATTATGATGGAAATACATAATTTTAAGAGACTTTTACCAGTCTTTACCAGGTTATTATGGCTGCACTGCTGCAATTCCTTAGAATTGCCCCAGTTCAAGTTAACTAAATTAGGCTGTCTCCCCAAGCCATATCCAACAGTATTTTTGGAACATGACTAATGAACATTAGAGGGATCTGATTTACTGTAAATTGCAACTGCAGTACTGTTTTGCCTTCAGGTTAGGGGATAGCACAGACAGGGAATGATATTTAACTTCTACAAAGTATATTTATGCAGGAAATGAAGCATGTTGTGTTCTCACACCTCCAAGTTTGTCAAGGAGAAATATTCACACACCCCCCCCCCCCCCAATATTGGAAATAAATATTCTCACTTGAAAAATGCAAAATATAATCAATTCAGTTGAAGGCAGCCTGTTACTTTGCATCTAGGACTTCTCCCTCCCAGTCAAATATTTGGCATGGTAGGTTGAAACCAGAACCTACTGCTTCTGTCACTTCAGTTAAGCTGAAACCATCTCAGGCAAATCAAAATAAATACTTCCCCAAAGGGCATAATATTTGGGGTGGCATGAGGTGATTGTTGAAATACAGACTTGCATATATTTTTCTAGCTAACACAGTCCTAGGGGAAAGGTCTAGGAGCAGATAGGTGTTGAAGAAACCTTTTTAGAAGTTGTGCAAGTAAATAGCATTTTTGAAAGCAAATACACCTATCAGCTGTATTTATTCAGTACCACTCTACACCAACGGAGTAGGATGGTGAAATGCAGCTATTGAAAGCAATGAGGTGACTCAACTGATTTGTTAAAGGCTAAACCAGTGCTACTCCTGCATTACAGACTGTCCCAGACTGGAAACCCCTACATCTGCCTATATTCAGTTGACTCAGCAGCTGGATCTTCACACTGCAACTGCACACGCAAGCAGATGCCCCAGAGAACTTCACTTGGAACATCTTGGGTTGGCCAAATGACCTTTAAAGGTCCTTTCCAACCCAAACTATTCTAAGATTTTACATAAATTGACCAAAATATTCATGCTTTGCAGCATTCCTGTCAAACTCTAAAATTCTATTGGCCCTTAAGAAATAGTGACTGAATTTCCCTGTGATTACTGACTATATTTGGAGCCAGGCAGCCTTTAGCAACTACACATATATACCAGTATTTGTGGGTAATAAGACCGATTTGGGCTTCCACAGTTAGAAGAGCATTTAAGACAGAGGACCAACCTAGTTCATGTTTAAATTGGAAGTCTGCTGAGTCCTCCTCTAAGGACTTTAAAAAACATCCAACTTGAAGGTGGTCTATTTCAAAACTGCACTTGTACAGCAGGAACTGATAAGAGTGTGGGACCTTTAAAATAGCATAAATTACCATAGTATTTAAAATAATTGGCTTTTCAAAGTGTCCATCTACAGAAATTGCTGCTGTTACTGTTCATTTACTTGCAGATAAAGAGATATGACTAAAGATGTGCTAAAAAGAAAAATAGAACTTTTTTTTTTTTTTTTGCATCCATGGAATTTTAAAGCCTCTACACAACTTTCAAGCTTTTATACACATTCAAAACCTCAAAATGAAATGCAACTAAAAGTAATTTGGAATCTGAACATTTAGTAACAAAAAAAATTGTCTCCTAAAAAAAATAAAATAAAAATAAAATGTGTAAGTCGGGGGGGGGGGGGGCTGGGGGGAAATGAGAGAGGAGTTATTCTGTAACTAAGGTTTTAAGATTTTTAGAGTTACTTCATATGTTTCAGACAGGACTTATTTCTATTCAGATTGCCTTCAAGGGGATTCACTGTCTCAGAATTTATTTTCCCATCTGACCTCTAAATACTTCCATGGTTCTGCTCTGTGAAATTGCTTTTTAGAAATAATTTGTTTATTAAACACATTTTCTTATGGAAACAGCTGTTTGTCTTACACTACTTTGAAGAAAATGTGGCAAAGAGCTAGTTGGAAAAGAAGGTTGCTTTTTCAGGACAGTCTTTTGGGCAGGGTTGAGGCAGGAAGCTATAGGATCACCTTCTTCTCTGAAGAGGGAATTTAAGTACTACTGAATACATTTGGTTTACATGTGTGCAGCAGCTGCATCACCAAAGAGAAAAAAAACCCCAGCTTTATTCCCCATTGTTTGCTATGGTGCAGATGTAATTAAAATAGTTTATTTAAAGAGTAAGACTAGCAAATTGGAAATGCTTTCTTTGGATGTTACAAGGACTGAAAATTTTGTCCCTATTGGGAGTTAGATTACTTGGAGTCACCTCTGAAAAAGGAAACTCAGCTTCTCCTAATTTGATTATTTTGCAAATACAGTAAGATTTAACAGAAAGTGTTGGAAATAAATATCTAGTGTTAGAATATCGTCACATAAAAATGCAATCTCTAGAATCCTGCAACAAAGCACAGAATTCAACTTATATTGGTTTTTTTCCCTTTCCCTATCCCATAAAAAAAAGTGGAAATTTCAGATTCTGTTCCATCAACCCCAGTGACAAAGGAGGTGGCCAAGAGATTCTCTACGCCTGATGCTAACCCAGTGTCAACAGAACCAGCCTGGCTTGCCTTAGCCAAGAGGAAAGCAAAAGCCTGGAGTGACTGTCCACAGATCATAAAGTAAACTGTAAAGTTACATCTCTGTTGCTGACTATTAATTGCTTTATTTTATTTATTCTGCTTTTTACACATGACAAAACTGAAAATGCATGTATTGGAAGGACTGAAAACTGAACTAATTACCATTTTGCTCTAGCTCACTGTAAAGTCTACTCAAGTCATATATTCCATTGCTTTGACAAATAGCTAAAGGACGTCAAAGGACGGCAAAAATCTCACAGCCAGACTCTCTCAAAAACTTAAGAGTGCTCAGATACTGGATGTAAATTTTAGCAGGTATCATAAATAAGGGCCAGAACAGAATAAGAGTTCAGATGCTTTTTAAATTATGTTGGTATTCAGTTCTGGAATTTTACATCTCTATGTTTGAGATCTCAGAAATTTTTTCAGAACTTCGTTGTTGAAATTAAGGAAAGATGCATGTTTCCTTCTCTTAAGTCTTAATTTATTTAAATATGTTAAACTGTATGAACTGCCAGTTCTGCCTGCTATTTGAAAGCTTTTTCCCTAAGGAAGAGCTTCAGAATACACTATTCCACATGCAAATGAAAAGTGATGGTACCATTCAAATGCTGAGGTAATTTCTTTCATCACAGGATTAATATACTACATCTATATACCACCACTTTTAAGAAGAAAACAATTAATCCTACTTAAAAAGCCACAATTTTTAAACAAATGTCATTAAGTTCTCACAAAGAAGTCAGGGATTCACTGTTTCTTCTAGACATTTAAGTGCATCACTGTTTATGCTTGGCCATATTTATGCTGCATAGACAGTGATTGTGGCTTACAACTTTAAATCAATTGACTGGAATTAACCTGCTCCTGTGTGAATGCAAATTCCTCCAGAATTTGTCTCAGTAAGTTCCCATGGGAGTAGACTGGCAGAACTGAAGTTAACTGAGAACTGAGAAGGAAGTCAGTGAGAGTTATAGGAGTTTTAACTCTGCATTCTTCCTGACTTTACTCCACATGCAACTTCAGGCAGTTCAGATAACTTCCTGTACTTTGACCAATATAGCCAGAACACTTCAAAAAGAAGTTTACTTACCCCATCTCAGGTATCTGGTGTGGCAATTGAACACTTTATTACTTCACATAACTAAACCAGAAACGTCCACCCCCTCCCTCTTACAAAAAAAGGATAAAGTCCATAAATGTAATAAAAATGTCACTATCCTCAACATCCCACAGAAATCTCTAGGCCTGCATTTTAAAATATCACCCAATTAAATAAATCAACTGAGTTTGTTTTACAAGAAAGCCTTTAAAAAAATTTGAAAGTCTCCTTCAAACCAAAGGGCTCAAAGGAACCTTTAAGCCTACAACATCATAAAGGAGGACATTTTCATGAAAAGAAATTACATCATTCTAGAATGATACAACATATGCTTCATGGAAGTGTTTTAGCCAAACTGCTGTAAGCAGCATGAGAAAGAGTGTTTTAAACTACGCAGGAAACAGAATGAAACCTGTTGTACACTCTGTTCCCAGAATTAAAAAGGAGTTTCAGCAAAAATCATTGGCAAGTACAGCCTTTCCCACTGAACAGAAGAGAGGGGCTCAGTATCATGGTTACAGTAGCACAAACACAATGGATGTGTTAGATCAAGTACCTGTACAGCAGCAAGATGAGCTTTCTTGGGTGTCTTAAGCCATTAGTTTTGCTCAGTTTCATATTTAAAACTAGAATCTCTAAAGTAATCTTTACCAGGAATTTAAGTAATTAATATCTTTTAAGCAGAAATGAGACAATGCTGCTCTCAAATGCTTCGGAAAAAAAAACCCAACTTAATGCCTTCAATAACTGAAGAAAGGATTGGCCCTGTAATTCCTTTTGCTCTGCTAGCACCTGGAATTAGTGCATCTTAAAGTTAAATTTATATTTTTTCCATGTTTGTTTGCCTGCAGTATGGATATGTAATAACTAAACTGCCTGAAATCCATCTTTACAATTATTTATTGGGAGGGGGAGACAGGTAGAAATGCAGAGAAGGTGAAGTAAATCAGGATTAAAGATACTGATATTTTGTAAAGCATAGCAAAATTAGGTGCTATTGTGCATGACATAAGGATGCAATTTTCCAATACAATCCATTCATAGCACAGAGAATAGAGCTTTCATTAAGGATGGTCCTAAGCTAAAGCTTCAAAGCAGAGTTTTTTTCCAACCATAAAGGTATCTAGTGTAACAATGGAAACTGTATTATGTACAGTACTTGATGGAAACATTTCTAAAGCGTACATGTGCAACAGTGACATTTCAGTTAAATTAACAAAGATTTGCACTAAATACCAATGAAGTGAAGTTTCACTTTGCTTTAGCTTTGTTGCAACCATTTCTGATAAAGTATTGGAAATCTGTAAAAATAAATCCAAACCACTACTACCCAGTTTAAAACAGCAAAAATGTTTTAAGGACTGAATAAACCACTATGTAGTATATTGTCTCAATTTTTTGTAACTTATACAAACACAAAATACCATTTCTTTTGACAAGGTTATATATGATTAACCTCTATGTTCATATAGTAATGTATAAAAACTACAAGATGTATAATTGTGGGGTATTTGTTGTGTACCTTTTTTAATTTTTCAAATGTTTTAAAGTGCAATTGTTTATTATACTGTCATTTTAAATCTTATTAAACTATAACCTGGTCAGAATTATCTAATCATTGATATATGTCCTCTGTGTCTCATTTTGCTATTTAGCTCAGGTTTGCCTTACAAACAGAACTTTTTACAGTGCTACAACTGTACTGCATACTAAACAGGATTCAAAGTAGATGGCTCATGAGAGCAAGTAAGGTAAGAGTTTCTACTACACTTCTTTTAGAAGACTCTCAGGAAATGCTCTCAGTGAAGTGTACTTTTGCCACTGCAAGTACTTGATTTGCATTGCCAGACCACTGGTACTTACTTCTAAGGTCTTAAAGAACACAAAACCCAATTTGCACAACATTTTATTAATAGTTCTTGTGAAGACAATGTAAACAGTATTCATTCAAATATCTCAAAAAATTATTTCACAGTGGTTGATTGAGCAGTGCACACTTCATCTTGGAACTCATACTATTCCTGTCACTGAAATTTAATAAATATTTATAGTGTTATTTCCACTTTAGAATACAAGAGGCAACTCCTACTGACTTCAATGGAGTCTAAGTATATGCTAGATTAATTAAGCCATTGACAGGCTTAGGTCCACAGAAGATGAGCTATTCTGTTTGTACAAACTGTAGTAAACAGGTCGCTCCTTCCAGGTATATGAAATTCAGGCTATGTCTCCAGAAATCAAATTAAAAGTGAGATTCAAAAAAGAACTTGGTTTAGCTTGCCTGGCACAGAAATCATGACAGACAAACACTAGTCTGGTGCAAGGAAGAGCCAGGCACAGGCGAGGAGAGACTCAGAGAAAGCAATACACTCCTCCCCTGGAGATAAGCCTGCTATCCAAGCTGTGGAATATGGCTCCTCACACACTTTGTCCCGTCCCTGGCAAGGTGCTGAGCAGCCATCCTCCCTCCATCACTGGACACTGCCTGATGCAAAATCCCACTGATAAGCCTGCAAGGAGCATCTCTTGCCTACAGCAAAATAGGCAGAGGGGTAGAGGGCACCTCTGAGCTCCTAGTTTACAAACATAAACAATAAAAAGAAGCAGCCTAACATCTCAGCTGTTATTTTTTCCTGCTATATACAGATCTAGACAATAAACATAATCATTTCTACAGCCAACAACAAGCTTTGTTCCCCATACTACGGGCGAAGAGAAAACCTCGCCTGGAAGCTTATCTACTCCTTCTGCTGTTCCGCTCTTGGCATCCAGGATCCACACTTTGCCATCTGTAGATACTGCTGCCAAGAGAATTTTGTTATTTAAGTCATCACTTTGGAAAATAAATGGTGTTCCATATACACTTGAAGTGGCTTCAAATTTCCACAGTAAATTACCCTCCATGTTACAGCAGTAGATAAAGCAGTCATGAGAGCCAAAAAATATTTCTTGCTTAGTTAAACTTGAGAGGCATGGAGATGAAAACACCGGCCCATTAGTGGAAAATTGCCAAACCTAGAGAAAGAACATAACCACCCATTATCAAAGGTTTTTTACATTATCAGTTTTACAGCAACTGTAATTTTTAATAGACTCACTGTTGATAGGACAGCATTTCATTTCTAAAGTACACTAGATTTCAGTGAGAGCTAGTTAAATCCTTGTCAAATCATAAATAAGGTTTTACACAGAGAGTAAGCAATAAAAGTCTCATAAAATAGATGTAGAAGAGGGAAGAATTACTGCCTTTGGTGAGGCCCATGTAAAAATGGCCAATCTGGGAAAAGAATATTCTTGGGCTGTTTTTCAATTAGTAATGAACATCAAGAATCCTGTTAATGCGCCATTCTTTGCCAGAAAGGCAGATATTCCTTTTGTAATATGGATTTCCTCTGCTTAAGCTAACAATGTGCAGATCCCTCCTCAAGAGATTATCAGTTCTGCAACACTGCTGCAAGCAGAGAGCAGTGCACAGATGGACTAACATGTATTTTACAATCAGAAAAGGCTCAGGAATTGCCATTGTATACTGCCTCTCAGGTCAACAAATGAATGGTGTCAGTTGTTTTAACACCAGATACAAACTACATTTACCTCTTAGGAACTAAAAAGATACTCTCACTTAATTCAGTGTGAAGGCTGACACATATTTTACCAGAATTATGATTTGGCAGTTTTTTGACAAATGCATAAAAATTCTAAGAAACCTTTACTTCTGAATAACCACCATCTTACAGGAGAGATACCTTAAACATACTTGGAAAGCTCCAAATGAAATAATTTTATTTGCTGGCACTACACTTGACAATTCACTTTGAGTATAAGGTCTGAACTAGAAATTCTCCTACTGCATCAGGCAACTTGAGTTTGTGATTTTGCCATGAACTGCGTGGACTACAGTTTTTCTACTTTCTTATCTCTAAGAACAAACACTCCTATTTGGTTCACAAAAAGCTATATGTCAATCATTGAGCCTCAGAAAACAGTCCTAATAAAGTATCTTATTCAGGGTTTTGAGATGGACATAAAAAACCCAACAACACTTTTACCTTTTCTCCATAATGAGTGTAACAATACAAGTTTCCATCCACACACCCAACACAGACATAGCCCTCATTGCAGTGAGGAGAGGAGAAGAGTGGTTTTCCAAGATTGCTTTTCCAAATCTTACTCCCCGTCACCTGTAAGTGGCAGCATGGAATACCTGATGCTTAACACAACTGTAAGAAGCAGCACAAAACCACCCTTCCTGACCCATCACTGCCTGACCCAGCCCTTATGTAGTGTGGAATAAAAAGCCAAACCCCCAAACCAAATCAACACCCACAAAAACCAAAAATGTAATCAAAACCCAATTTTCTACCTCACTGTAGGCAAAATAAAAATGATAATAGTGTATTAGCAGTAGTTCTAATAAATTTTAGATTCAGTTTTTTATTTCATTCCCAGCTGCTCAGGATGTGACAAGGAGTAATGAAGAAGAGATACTTTGGAATCACGTTATATTGATACTCTGTGACATGTTGCACGCACTATCTATGACTGTCACAATGCATTCCTACTGTATCCTGCACATTCCCCAGGAATTAGGATTATTCACAAAAATAAGAAGGCACAGTCTCACTTGTAGGTGGGTTTCTCAACTACCTCTTACTGTGGATTACAGAATAAAAAAATATCTTTTTTAACAACAGCCCACTCTTGCAAAACAACACACTGGTTTTCTAATGGTAAACTGGTTACTGCTGAGGACAATTGTAATGGATGGAAGGTAAAGGTGATTAGGATTGCTGCTCTGTGTTGTGTGACTACAGAAACATTAACAGCCGCTTCAAGCCCTTGTTCCTTTTATCAGGCAGGACCAGCTGTAAGCCAACAATGCCTTAGAAAACCATGAAATTGCTCCACATCTATCAAGAATACCATTTCCCCAGTGCAAAGAAAAGAACTGCACACTGAGATTAGAAGGACAGCTCCTAAATATGGGGAGGGAAGCAGTGAGAGGAATGAAGGGGCTTCTTTCTCCATTCTGTTCTGATTTCTGTATATTTTTTTTTCCAATCCTACTGTAAAAAGAGGAGGGGGCATGAAATAAATCTACAGACTTGCTCTCACTCACTGGTTTTACAGATACAGGAATGACAAGCAATTGACTGCAACTTTGGCCTATGTTCAGCATTTGAATTCAACCACATCACGTCAGACCTCCTTATCACCAGGCAGATTTCTGAAGTATGGGAAGTATTATGGTAACCTGGCATATCATTATAATGCCTCCAAGTGAAAAATATTTCATGGTAACATATGATCATCTTCCCTTCCATTGGAATAGCAATCTTAACTTCAGAAATACATTTGGTTTCATTTAAACTTGAGATTGGGATGAGAGACAAAGGTACATACTGGGTTAACAGCCAGTAATAGTCCTCCTAGTGTAGCAACATAGAGATGATGTGGAAATGAACTTAGACAAGGAGATGAAAACACAGCTCCACCTTCACAGTGTAACTTCCATATACACACCTTTTCCTGTAAGTACATGAAAAAAGAATAATAAACCATTTTTCAATTGGAGTCAGAGCTCATCATGTTTACAATGACCTTTGAATGTCAAACATTATGAAGTACTCAGCAAATACCAGTTAAGAAGTGAAGACAATCTACAGCAACAAATGTGGCACCGGCTTTCTCTTCCAGTAAATAAAATAAATTCAGCTAATGAAAAGTCAGTATCTGCCCCTTTTATTTCCCACGTGCCTCCATCTTCTCATTTAGCATGTAAGATTGAAAACTAAAATTCTATTTCTAGCTAGGCACCATACTCTGAAACACCTGTGGAGAATTTAATAACTAAGAAACTTAAGCTTTGGTTTCAACCAGGACTGATAGCACAAGAACCACAACTGAGAGGACCATTAAAAGTGTTCACTGTCGCATAATCCTAACTCCGCTTACAGCAGACCTAACTTTCAGAAGTGTGATTGTGGACTCCTAAGACACTAACACCAGTGGAAATTTCTCTGGTGCACTATAAATGGAATCTAAATTGGATATTTATTGTTCTACATATAAAAGTGAGTCAGTGCTCTTACATAAATATCCAAAGCATACACATGTTGGTCATGTGATCCAATGTAAACCAGTCCACTGGAAGGGTCTACAACTGCAGAGCTTTTCACAGTGTCTTCTGTGACAAAAGTCCAGTGTATTTCTCCATCACTGCTTTGAAGCACATACACCAAGCCATCATAACAACCTATGTGGAATAAAACATGATGGGGGAAAAAAGAATAATTATTATTTGCGTTTATGGTATGATTTATGCTGCTAGTTGCATCACTCCTGGAAAGAAATGAGATTATTCATAAGGTAGAGTTTCAAAATATTTTTGAAAGCTCTACCTGTGTTTTCAGCTGAAAGGTTTTGCTGATACAGTCGAAGATGATTATTCTGTGTGCTTTTTCTAAGTTACATTTGGAATATACTTATTTCACTACCTTTCTATCAAATTTTTCAGTAGCAATATTAGAAAACACAGAGAGTTGCTGAAAAGGGAGAATACAAAAATTTTTCATTACCTCTTTTGTGTAGGTTTTGTTTCTGAAAAAAGGTGTTAAAATTT